TCCTCGAGAGCCTGACGAAGCTGATCTTCGGTATATTGAGGCATTATATATAGAAGAAGACATGTGCAAAAGATGAGCCCATTTGGACGCGAATTGAAAATGTTGTGATAAAAGGAGGTTGGGGGTGGGCATTGGGTTGTGGTGGATTTTCGCGTTTTTGTGGGTGCCAGAAACAGGGGGGTGCCAGGAAGTGGGTATGTTGACTTAATGGTTTGGCAAGAAGTATAACGAATTCGCAAGAATCATACGGAACTTTGGTACAACTTATAGTCTTCTCTCACGAGAGCGGAATATGCATCTCAATCCATCCAATCACTACCCGAGGTAGTTGTTCTCAAGCACTCTGATAATTCGAATATTCATGTACAACCAACTGCGCAAGTGCGATCCATAGTCATCCACCTCCATCAGATAGTGCTCAGCTACCGATGAAGTAGAGCTTGATTATGGAACAATGGAGGAAGGGGCTTCCTTCGTTTTATTATAGAAACAGGTTTCATATGTTCAGGTGCAAATACTCAAGGTGGCTATCGAATTTACAGATATGGGTGTCCAAACAGTCCCTAGATTTCGAACCAGTCTGCTCGTCTCGAATTCTGTAACTATCGATGGCATCATATCATACATCTTACTGCAGATGATCCCAGTCGCCGCACTGTCCCTTGTTCTTCTGACAGTAAGGCCAGGGGTTTCCAAAGTGTAGGCAACGGTATTTCGTCGAAGAGGTAGAATCCGCTGTTGAATTGAGTTAGCCATTGAGTGACACAAATGAAGGAACAGTGATTAGTCGCTCACGCATGCAGTACACAGAAGCCCCGGATCCCGTGTCACACGGGCAGCAATCACGGTTCTTAACACATTCGGCTAGATAATCATACGTTAGAATGCTTATAACCTCTCTGAAGAATACACTTTTTACCGTTGAGATGCCGGTAGTGTTGAGGGTCCGGCTGAGCGCTGGCAAGAGCCACTAGTATAGCCAGAACGTTGCTTGCAGCGAACTTCATCTTGGAAGTTGCTTGGTGTGACGGTATTAATGAGGGGACTTGAGAAACCGACCTAGAGTCAGAGATGAAGGCTAGTGGTCCTACGATAATTGTATCATGATGTCTGCGATCAGAAAATTAAGTATTCATCCCCTTTCTCGTAGAATTGTTATTAATTTGTCTCTGTTGGAGGCAAGAATACCCGCACGTTCCCCACGATCATTCGGCATGACCGGTATGGCAGTATGGGGTTCATATTGGAAGCTTTTGTTAGATAAATGTCTGTTAGATCGTAGGTAAGATTTTAGCTTACCCCGTCGGAGTATTTACCGACTCCTTGGGAGCAGTTGACTTGTATAGTAGAAAATTTGCTAATAGACTGCGAGGCTAAGATTGTGCAGTAAAGTTCCCGGAAGCCATTGCACTTTGTCCACCGATGTTACCTTTCTCGCTAGGGAGGTGAACTACGACTTGAAAGAAATCCCCCTAACAGCTTGGCAGAGCTGAAAGATCCCATGAAACCTTTATAATTGGGATTTCGAATTGAGTCATGTTGTGAGATTCTAGATACACACGTCACCTTTCAGTCGATCAATATTCAGGAGATTGCAGTTGGAGAATTGTATGGTAGCCATGTACGCTCAAGAATTATTTCTAACGCGCAACATTCATTAAAAAGCTCAACATAACCTGAAACTTTCTAAAGGACTTTTATGACACATGATTGAATCCTCGAGGGTGTTCTGACTAGACATTGACTTTGGAAATGGCAGTCTTGACCACCTTTGCTACTACAAAAGTTCCCGAAGTCGCCGACCCGGGAATCGAACCCCGAGAGTCAGCTGCTCACCGCCACTTCCGAGGGGGATCGGAGGGTCCAGTGAGTCCTGTTTTTTCTCTTGAAAAGACACTGTAGAGCGGATCGGTGTTTTGGGATCGGACTTTTGGCCAGATTTCCTCCAATTCGGTTACGCTTCCTAGTTTGTTTTGGTCGCGAGCACTAAACTTGATCGCCATTAACGATCTAGGACGAAACGATTTTTAGTTCTCATACTCTTTCTTCAATCAACTCTGCCTGATAACTACTATTTCAGAGAACTTGAAAAATATTAAAGCTGATTGAAAATCCCACGAATAAACTATAGTAATATGGTGTTCTTCCCGGGACACAACTGCCCACCCTTGAGCGCAAAGTTTCACCTTAGTAGCTATCAACCCTTCTTCAAACAAATCATTCATCTGCAAAAAATGACTCTCAAATGCAACAAATTTGCAGGCAAGGAGCAACATGTATAATAAACCTTGTTCCGATCGTCACCGGTTTGATTGGTGTCTCACGTATGAATATCCTTCGTGATATTGTACCTTTTACGTTGTATGCGATACTCGCATTGCTCTCAGCTCTTCACGCATAACCTCATTACTTGAAACACCCGGACTTGTGTTGGTATGTTTTCATCGAGCGAACGGAGGTGAATTCTTATATTTTTGCAGTACTTGGAAAGGGTGGCGTTAATGAGTGACTTCAGATGGCGCGATGCCTTCCGTACAATCGGTTCCCTCCAGTGGCACATCCGAGAAGAGAGCTCCATGAGCAGCATCTAGGGAAGCCTGAAAGGCAACGTTATTAAACGGTACCTGTGTCTTCTCGTACCTCACATCATTTAATGCCTGCTGAACTACCTTATCAAGAGAATCCCAGCTCACGGGAGTACGCTGGAAAAGTCGACCGTCGTCTCTGCCACTGTAGGGAGAAATGGCGTTGTCATGGATTTGCACATGGAAGGCGGATGTTTGGTCGCCTCTGGCAGAACCCCATGCCTTGTGATCAGTCGTAAAAGATATACCAACGGAACGCAAGTCCTTCATGGTGGCACCATCGCAAGTCGATTTGGCAATCCAGACGACAACACTCGCCCAGTAATGGCGGTGGCCCTCTTCGTCTCCCTTGCCCCAGCGAACCTTTGGGACGTAGTAGCTGTACATTATGCCTCGATGGCCGTTGCTGATTCCTCGTCGAATATAAACCTGAGCTTTGCCGCCGGCGTCGCAGCCGCTTCTTCCGCCTCCAGTAGGCCGTAATCCAGCACTACCGTGTGACTTTAGCTCATGTACCATTCCTAAGATTTGCTTCGCCAACTTACCCGAGAGATCCATCAGCGTTGACAGCAGGATAAGGATCGCAGCCGCCCGAAACAAAAAGCAAAGGGTTGTATTTAGACTCAAGCTGTCCCGCGAACCCAGAGGATGTCATCTGAGGAAGTGCGATGACTGCATTATGGTTGATTGTGGGATGACCTCCATAGTTATCCCCGCCGCGTGGTAATACGGACGTAAGACCGGCTCGTGAAAGAAACCCGACACAAAGCAATAAACCCAAAAACATTGCCTTTTCTGCTTTTCTGACAAGAAGTGGGAAGAGGGTCGAGAATTTGACGATGCTATGCAAGGTATCAGACAGATGGGTGATTGAATGATATAAGTTGGCACTGTTCCCCTTTTCTGCTTTCTGATTCTTCTCTAAGGGGCCACTCTTTCCAATTGATACCCTAACTTTGTGGAGCAATCAAAACGAGATATCGTATAGTGCACAAATTTCTCATGTCCGCAAAGTAGGTAGAGTACACATTTGATTTGCAAACACCAAGCTATCTGGTAATTGCAATAATCTCTCATCAGGTAGGTTTATCGTTCCGGAACTTTGAACGGACAAATTGACAAGGTTTCGCCATGGCTTGAAGGCACTTGACAAGGGCGCTGCTTGTGTAGAATGACTAGAACACTAAAATGAGTAAAAGTAGATCCCATTCCTGTTAGTATTTAGTGGCGCCAGGGTCATCAAGCAGAGATCACACTGGTGAGAGGTTCTAAAGAAGTGAACCCACTAGTCGCAAGCGATTTCTGCGTGGTAATACTGTCTCTTTTCCGCAGCCGGTTGATTGCAGTCCAGCAGAGGCGTAGTCCCATGCATAAGTATGATGCAGAAAAAAAGCCAATGTCAAGACATGAAGTCCCAACCCACGATAAAGTCTCTTAAACGGGGCTTTGTGGAGAAAGGTTGGACGTGCTACATATGTGTCCGGGCACAGCTTGGACCCGCCTCCTGATAAGGTGCACAGCGTGATAGTTAATATAGTTCGGAAATCACCGTGTTGTCAATCTACTGAGCCAAGGAAAAACAACGTTTTAAGTTCAGGACTTGATTCAAGAATATTTTCGTCAGATCAAAAGAATGTTCGTCCTCAAAGAACATCGCAAGGTTCTGTTTCTTGGATTGGAACGATGACCAAGGCTTCGTTATTAAGGTAGACAACTACCCGTCACCATCCCCGCTGAATCCGCCCTTTTCGGATCTCTCGACCACCTCATCTGCAAGGCATTCTTGCAGGAACCAACAAAATATGTGGCTCACCAACATTATTTTACTCTTGACGCTATGCTGTCACACTACCTGGGCCAGGATAGTCATCGGATATCGAACAGTTTCAGAAGTGAGCTTCCTAATGTAGCTCCAGTAGCATCTACTAATGAGCTCTGAACAGGAAGAAGCTACCGAGATAAACAGAAAGAATGCACCATTCAGAGACCCGGACTATGATGATAGCGAAGGGTGGTCCCAACTTGGGAATGGTGTGTATACGACACCAACTCCAGCTGGATGGAGCAGCTATGGGGTTACAAATTGGTACGTCGTTCGTTCTTTTGTTCAGCTAAAATTACTTACCTAGGTAAATAAATTTCAGGTACTGCGCTATCAAGGCGGATGAGGATTTGTTTGCTACCGCAACCAAGGCATGGATTCCTTATGCCGATTACTACGACAACCGTCTCTGGAATCAAGGAGAAAGCACCATCACAGGCTACATCGAGGATTCGCTGAACGAGGAACCAGATAAAACGCTCCGGTTATCTTACATAGGAGGTCACGGTTATCATGAGCAGATGCTCATTCCAACCGAGATGGTGAACTCTGATGCTTTGGACTTCTATGCACAATGCTTTGAAACTAAGCAAGAGTTGTTGGATTATAGCGACGAAGTGGTCAATTATGCCACTTGGTCTAATGTCGTTGGGTACAAGGGGAATCCTAGGAAGTAAGTGCTTCTACATAGGTACAGCGGATCGTTCGATGAGGAATTAGCCTTAATCAGAGCTTAAGCCTTGGTCAGGATGACCTTCGTATAAAGTTTTTGCATGGAATTTACTTCGCGTGAGTTATTGTAATCGTTTTTGTTGTTGTCATCTGTAAGTCCTCTCGATAATTTCCATTTCGCATAAATATCAGATGTCAATATCAATTTTTGCAGGGCGTGGTTGGCCGCTTAACAATGGAAAGTTCTTGACTTCTCGCTCACACATTCGTAGTGTAACTCAAGCTATGTTAAGTATAGTCTAGGATTCTCTAACTGGATATATTTAGATAGCTTTTAAAATAGAGGAGAACCCATGTCGTATAGTCACAATACGAGCATCGACGCTAAATGTAGAGAACGGTTGTCTATTGAAAGTAGGAAATGGCCACGAGGTTCGCCCTGAAATAGAGGGTGCAAGCGAGTGTGGACCTCGGTGATCATGCAAACGAGGCCACGTGACATGCGGTGAGGCCAGGTATGGTAGAAGCCATCACGACAACCCTCGTGTAGGGTCGTGATCGATCCATTCCCTTATTCAGTCTTGGCGATGCCAGCGTGGGAAGTGGAAGATTGATAGTCACATCCCCCTGCTCTTAGTGCAATCATAAAGCAGCCTTTGACTGGAGCCGAGCTAGAGATCAGTGGTATAGACGCGATTGAGTTTGAATGGGTCAGAGATAACATCCTTATAGCTGATGTTCTCATTGTACTGGGACTCGGCACCGGCCAAGATTCCCTTTTGGATGATACGAACTGGAATGAGAAAGCGAGGGAAATCCTTCTCATTCAAATAGCGATGATTTGAATGGTATGATGGTTGACTTCAGCTAGGTACATTCGTAAAAGCAATATCTATCTATCTAGGGACTCGCATGTTCACCGGTAGTGAGCGGAAGTCTTGGCAATCCGCAACCCCCAACCATAGTCAGGCGAAGAATTAATTGATTTAGGTGTGTCGGCGAATTACCGTTCCCATCCTTTCGGTGCGATGTCTCGAGATGGTCGACATACAAGAGGAACTGTAACAAGCTGCCGATTATAGCATACCCATACAGGCCATGCAAGTCTCGCTCACAAGTCTCATTCTCAAAATGCATATGTGATCGAGGCTGGCTACTGTAGTTCCACAGAAGAATGCAGAATGATTAAAGTCGACAAGATGCAATGCGAGAAATCAATGTGACTTGCCCCCTCCGGCTACGGGTTGCGTTGACCCAATCCCTAGACTTAATTAGCCTGAGACGCAGGCTTCAAGAAATGTGCAAAAGCGTTGCGAGCTGATGATTGAGATCAAATATCGCGATTTCGAGCTACATATGGATGACCTCGCTGCAGCATTCTCCCACGATACATTACGTTTCTGGGTCGCCGACGAAACAGAGTCTTTGGTCACTCTCTTCACAATTAACATCTCCAGGCTAGCGGCAGTCTGCGATGGGAAGCAGAAGATGAGCGCCAGCTCGAAGATGCATACAGAGACATGGCCACTCAATTGTTTGTTGCCATCTGATTATCGAAGAATTCCTCCGAGGAAGCATAGCTCTTCTGACACAGAGTCTGTCAAGTCTACACATCGACGGAAAGCCATGCGATTGGTCCGAGTTTGCGGCCATTACGGGTAGTGGGGGAAGGGAGGAATCAAGACCATTAATGTTGTGAACAGTAATGAGAACGTTGACGTCAGTCAGAGCAGAGTTGCCAACTCTGCTGAGCGTGGTACACTTCAAAACCACATTTTCCAACGCAAACATCGTATGTCGAAGCGACAACCCTTACGGAGGTTTCTCATATGTTTGAGTCTTGATACTAATTCTTCCGCTCACGGCAAAAGTTGAAAGAGAAAAGGCTAAAGCACGATCCACTATTCTTCGAGGTAGAATAATCAGTACCGTTGATGGATACTCCGGAGAAGATCAGACAAAGTTCGCCGGTACGTATTGACGATCCGGGTTGCTTCCACCATACGAACAGTGACGGTTCTCAAGCAATTGAAATTTTCTCTTTCCCCTGCACCGTTTGCGAACCTTGCTCCGGCATCTTCATGGCACCTATGGGGCTGAATATGTCGACTACGTTTAAGCCCTTACTCGGCTCATATGATGGCGGGAGCCTATCGGCAAGCCATCTTCAATTCAAATAGTCCCCGTAGTCCACAAAATCTGTCCGTGATGAGCAGCTTCCTCAGCCTTACAAACAACTGACTAGAACGGTCTGATACGGAGTGACTATGAAAGACAACCGTTGGGGGTTTTATTGGAAGCGAGTCTTAATCACAGTTCAGCAATTGTTCATAATGAAGTTCGTACTGATTCAAGGGTGCAAGGTTGCTATAAGGTACTTCGGACCCCACGCACCAACCTGTTCAGAATAGAACGTGATGAGATGGTCTACTTTATCAGACTAATAGAAAGTGGCTTTGATTTGAAGTTCAAAATCGTTCTCGTCATTGTTTAGATTTCAGTTGAATGGGAGAGATGAACTCTAGAAAGCTTTTGTCATCATCCGAGTCAAGGGGGCGGGAGGTTCAGGGCGCTGACCAATAGAGGCACAGCTTATATTCTCTTGGCCATTCTTACTGCCTGATACGGCAAGTCGAGGAGCCACTTCGCCGCTACTTACAGCCGCGAAGATCGACAATACTCGGTGCCCGGCGCCTTGGTCATAACGATTGCGGATGACGACTGACGTCAATCCGGCATTGATGGGTAGGTAGTATCCACGAGTTGACCTTGATCGAGGCTTTGCTCACCGCAAGGAGATGTAGAGAGAGATAAAATAAACTAAATGGCGCCTCCTCGCTGGCATGCTCTCGCTTCGCTAGAAACAAAAACCAAGTTGATATAGTTTATTGCAACATCACGCCTAAAACACCTAGCAACTAAGGCTCTATCATCTACAAGGATTCAAGTCGAATAAACAAAGACAATGGGCTCCTTGAGCAGCAAAAACAGTGACCCCTATTGGTGGGGCTACATCGACGACGGCAAGGGCTGGACGGCGCGCCCCAAATCCGAATACATGAAGACGCCGGCGTACAACAAGCAGCTGCGCCGGCAGATGATGCAAGAGTCTCTGGCAAAGGGCGGGAGTGGTCATATTTCTATGGCGGAACAGTCTCGGAAACAGTGGTAGCATTTGCTTCATCGAGGCCTTCACGGGAAAGCCTCTGCAGATTAGGTCTTCATGTTCTTAATCTGGTTAGAATGGTGCTGCAGCTTTGCTCGAGGCATGCCAGGTGCCAGAATCTATGTACTTCATTTCATCGCACATTCGATGAAGCCGTTCTGAAGGAGATTGTCGGTTCGTTGATGTAATACAGCCATCCATTGTAGACGCTGCTCAAGGCCAAATTCTACAACAAAGACGAAAGGGAAGATGAAGGGGTAATCGGGACAACCATAGCAAGACACTCTAAACGTAAAAGTCATTTGATACCTAAGCTTTTGGCCCCCTTCACATCAGGAGGCTATCCTATAGCCAGATGTACACTACAGTTACACGCTCCAGACCACATCACATGGTCTTGAAATCCAGGTCTCATTTTGTGCTCGCTTTCTCTATCCCGAGGTTCCCATGAATGAATCGTGGCCTACCACAAAATCCTCATATCTGTATCTGCATATCCTCGTTCTTCAACTCAAAGAACCCCCTCCAACTTGAGATATTTACTGCGTCTTCTTGGTCGCAGTCGCAGTGCCGGAAGGCGCACTGTACATCCACACAGCCGAGAACAGCACAAAGCCGGTGACGGTGGCGAAGATGCCAGACAACCAGGGCCAGGCGCCCGAGATGACGTACGAGCGAGGCCACTCGTCGTGGGCCATGTGGCGGACGGAAACGGTGTTCTTCTCCTCGACGTTGGTGAAGAAGGGGCGCTTGTAGTTGACCTTGAAGTTGAAGATGCCGTGTTGGTCAGGCAGGATGAAGGACGTGGTGTAGGTGGTGGCGTCGGCGGTGCTGGTCTTGGCAGCGAGCGGGATGCGGTGGAAGGGGGAGAGCATGCTGAACTCGAGCTGGAGGTCGTCACCACTGGGGACAGTGAAGGGGGTCCACTTGTCCCAGGAGTACTCGGAGACGGAGATGGAGTAGGTCTGCTCGGGAGGTTAGCCTTTTCTTGTTCTTCCCTGAGCATCCAACTCAGAATAACTTACGACTTCGTTCTTAATGCGGTAGAGCTCGGGGTTGGTCTCGTTGGCAGCCTCGTTGAGGTAGTGCTCAATGTTGTTGACGCGAAGGACACCAGTCTCCTGGAAAGTCCAGCCGGCAACTCTCTTGGCAAACTCGCGGTTCCAGGTCTTGACCTCCTTGCCAGCAGCCGCGGGCTTGATCTTGGCGTCGAACCACTTGTCGCTCAGCAACTCGGCAGATCCAACGAGAGTAAAGCGGGCGCTGTTGCGCGCCTGGAAGGCGGAGACGAGAGCCAACTGCTCGCCGGCGGCAAACAGGTCGCTAGCGTCGACGACCTCGGCCTGCTCCTTGGGGTTGTAGCTGTAGGCCGTCTTCGGGGCGCGCAGGATCGGGGTGAGAAGCTGGCCGGCACCGAGGACATGGCCAACGCCGTTGGGAAAGGCAATAACCTCGCCGTCCTCGTGGAAGAAGTTCTTGACGCCGGCGCGGGGCGACTTGGGGGCGGGGATGGCGAGCACGTCGTGCTTCTCGGAGGCGCTGACGGTGTCGTAGTTGAAGTGGTCAACGACGAGGCCGGTACGGTCGGCGGGGAGGGCGATGTCGAGCTCGGCCAGGAGGCTCACGATGGAGGTCGGGACGGTCGACTCGGAGGAGAGGGACAGCAGGATGTTGCCCTTGGCGTTGACGAACTGGAGGAGAATGTTGGGGGTCAGGTTGGGACCGAGACCTGGAGATGCCATTGTAAGTATAGACTCCATAGATCTCGAACAGCAATTGAGTCGCATACCCTTGCTCTTAGACGGGAAGAGCAGAACGTGGTCGTAGACACGCTCGCCG